TCCCAATATTCAGTTTGCTACTCCTAACATTCAGTAAGTCGCTCCCAGTGTTCAGTTAGCCGCTCCCAACGTTCAGTTAGGCGCTCCCAATGTTAACTTAGCCACTCCCAATGTTCAGTTAGCCACTCCCAACGTTCAGTTAGCCGCTTCCAGTTTTTAGTTAGGCACTCCCAATTGAGCCGATCCCAGTATTCAAGAGCCAGTAGTAACATAATTCACTGGGTAATATTGTTAACATTCTACCCCACCGCAAACTTTATAACATTGCAACAAGTATGAAGGAATCCACGCCCAGAATTTATTCATTTCACTAATTTATGTTAACAATTTTCGGAACATTTGTTTGGTTGGCTATCGTTGCCGGTTTTTCCCATCCGGGATGCCTGCCGAAAATGTGATAACCTCTGTGATAATCCCTGAGAAATTGATAATCCCTGAGAAATTTAGCTTCTCTTCATGGGTGACAAAACAACGTGACAAAGCTCCAGTAAAGGTTAATATAACCTTTTCATGCGAACGCGCTTTGTAATGCCGGGATGCTAACTCAGCATTGTGAGTGGCAAAATGAATGCTGACACTGGCGGACTGAATATTCGTTAGCCCGACCCGGTGACGTCAGCAGCACGGCCCGTCAGCTGGAGCCGGTCGTGACCCAATCGTGTGAGGGGACTAGGATGATCCCACAGCCCAGTAATTTTATTAGAGCTAGGAAGCCTCTTTAAACCATATATAGATATTATCTTTTACATATATTTTGTTTCTATATTTTATATTATTTCAGTTTTTGTATTTTATGTATATGCCGTTGATCATATTATTATTATTATTATTATTATTATTATTATTATTATTATTATTAGCGTGCTGACTGGATGGCAAATCACTATAGTAACAGTAGTAGTAGTACTTAAAATAATATGACATGTATACATGCATATTGTTAAGGAAAATGTCTTTACATGGTTAAAACAGGTCTATTATGGTAGGCTGAGCTCCCCGATACCCCACCCTCCCCACTAAAATGTTTGAATTAGCTAAGCAGCCCGCTTAACCATATTTAAGTGGCAGAACACATACCCAAATGGCCAATCCGTAACCACAATCAATCATCATCGCTGACAGCCTTCGCTGGAGCAAGACATTGAACGCCCAAGCCCGCCTCGCCACGTCGCCCGGTAACTATCCATTCGTTGCCTGATTCTCGATAGCTAGCTACTGGACACTTATTCGCTTGACATTCGGCTGAGTCTGTCTCGACTAAGCTATCGGGGTCGGCTGCGTTTGGGTCATTAGCAGCCCGTGTACGCACCTAGAAAAAAGATAACTACCAGCAACAAAGATCTACACAGGTGACTAGTGTAGCCAAGAATCACCAGAGGAAGGAACAATGCCCTAGGTAATTATAATCTACATTATAAACTTTTTTAAACCGAAACCTAGAGCGTGCGTTTAACCTCTAAATAAAATCGAGAACTTTTACAATTACGCTTAGAACGACTGAAACACCAGGATCACCAGCACAGAGGGCCGCTCCCCCGGGAGCCGCCCTTTCAGTTGGCGCCTGAAGCCGCCTCGGTAGTGGCGCAAGGACCCCCTCGCCTATGAAAGCAGTGGCAGCCTGAGACAAACACAGCAGACATCATGCAGTGCTCACCTGCGATAGGGTGGGGCATACAATCTCATCCTGCCGCAGCAGCCTATCATGCAGATACTGTTCTGGGGACCACGAATTCAATGAGTGCCCGCTGGCCAAAATTGATACTAATTTTAAAAAACCGAACATCAACCGCAAGTGCTCCAACTGTTCCGGTGCACATAGCGCGAGATACATGGGCTGCCCGTCTCTCCAGCAGTGCAAGAAGACATTAAGAACAGCCCACGAAACAGCTAGAAAGAGATGCGTGGCACCCAGGTCTCCAATAGCGCCAAAGCAACCAAGTGGGAAGTCAGCACAAAGCACATCAGAGAGACGAGCCGATAGGACGATCACAGCCACAAAGGACCCTGAAATCTCGCTACAAATTTCTGAAATTTTAGCTGAAATCAGAGCTCTCCACAAAGAAAAGTCTGATGCTACCGATTCCAACGCTGACAGAACACAACTGCTAGACCTGATTTCGCAGATGCGTGACGAAAAAAACACATTGAAAGAAGACAGACAAGAACAAGTCTCGCAGCAAACAAAGTGGCTAGCAGAGGCTGCACAAATGCAGAAAACCCTGATAGAAATGACCCTAAATCTCCAAGCAGAAAAAGCACAGACAAGACCCGCCGACAAGAAGAAAGGGAGGAGAGAAGAAAGGAAACCGAAGCACTCAAGGAAGCCCGAGAATGCACTTATAAAGAAGTCATCCTTATGATCCAGGCAAAAGCAGAAGCCGAAGCTGCAGAGCTAGCGACAAGAACGGAGCATGTCCTGCTAGAGAAGGAAAGAGAGGCTCCTAGCAAAGTTGTAAAGAAACCAAGTATCAGCAGGGTCGACAAAAGCACAGTTACCGAAGCGGTAATGATGCAACACCAGGCACAGATGACAGATCCCGCTAGGAACGAAGTACCAAACAATGAAACACCTACCAGTCAGCCAGTCACCCAACGAGAAAGCCAGAAAGCGACAGCCGTTGTAACTTGCGACGCCTACCTTCAAGCGATGCTTGAGGGTTTCAACAATCAAGTCGACCCACACAAGCTGGTGTATGACGATGAATGCGGCCGCTACTGTTGAGGAATACGGAGATAAAGAAACACCCGAACAACTAGAAAAGAGCCAAAAAGTTCACCGATTCTGAGACGAAATCAACACAGCCCTAAACAAACTCCGCACGCCAAAGAGAAAAGCAGTGGAAAAATGGCACACCCAATAGAGGAGGCTACCGCCAATTCTAAAGAGCCACAGGAGGAGCCCAGCAAACAAGCCGCCATCTTCACGGACAGCTCAAGCTACAACTGCCAACCAGACAGACAGCCACCACCTTAACCACCATTTAAAATCACCCTTACGTCCTTGTTAGGACATTTTTTGTTATTTGAAGCCCCACTCTGGCTTTTGCCAGGGGCCGCAATATAGGCAGGCCATAAATATGGCCAATTTTCTGAACGCGGTTTAAGGGACCTCTCCACGGTGATCCTCATGGGCATGGTGGCACTTTGTTTCATCGGGTGTTTATCGCTTGGGTGATGTCCTAGTGGGGTAGAAAGTCACCACACCGGAGCCACACCCACCTGCTCCATCCCCACTGGCAAATAACCATGTAATCACCATAGAGCTAACCAAAAATCTTAACTTAGTATATTTTCAGGAAAAAGAAGACAACGGAAACTACCACAGGCCACTCGACGTTCCGAAGCAGATAGCCGAGGGCACTTGCACCTAAGGGGACCAGTACTTGGGAATTCCAGTCTCCATCATGCCACATCACCCCACCCCACTTGTATTTTAACAAATGCCTTTCACTTTTATTTCAGACCAAGGGACCTCAACTCACCAGGGTGGAACCTGTCCTTTATCAATCTATCTGTCACTCTCATTCTCCCGACCTAACTATCACATCTCCTCGCACATTCGAGCAGATCTCTCATTTGCATTCTATCTTACCACTACTTCTCCACACTCCGTGGAAAAAAAAAAAAAACGGGCTGATCACAACAACAGATTGTGACGGCCCTGGTTGTCCTGAAAAGGAGCATTTTTTTGAGACGTTGGGACCCGGCGTTTGTTTGGCTTTTCCCGGCGGCTTTACAGATCGGCAACCAAGCAGCAACAGGGCACCAGCACAGCGATCAGCATGAGGCAAACCAAGCACCAGCAACAGTCAGCTAATACCCGTAGATATTACAAAGAGTACTGGACCATACCAGACCCAAAGACCACAAGCACCACTGCACAGCAAGGAAGCAAAGAGCCGGTATATCAGGTGTGACTAGATACCACAAATAAAAGGAAATCAAATAAGACAGCAAAGGAACCTACCTTCATATAGCAGGCCTCCGGGCGGCTGAAAAAGGATCAAATTTGGAATTTTGTTGGACGAATTGGAATTGGACCCAAATGGCTACACACACAGCTTGGTGATTCTTCAAGGGTGTCGAGACCAGTCAAGAGGAAAGACTTTCTATATTTTCTTTCTTTTCCAGTTTACCATTCTGGACCACAGCAACGCGTAGACTGGTACAGCTACGTATATATATATATATATATATATATATATATATATATATGCCTACAGTCAGTAACCTGTTCTTTATAGAACCTTGCTCCCATAACAACCTTCCGGAAAACTTCTGAATTACAAGCAAGATGTCCCGCGTTCGATACATCCATCTGGAGCTCACTGGCCACATCCTGCACTCATCTTATCTTTGGCCTTCTTCTTCGTCTCGTTCTAGGCATAAACCCCTCCATTTTTGTTCTCTTTAAACTTTCGTGATGTTTCAAGTGACCCAAGAATTTTAATTTTCTATTTTATCGTCTTTAATAGCCAACCTTCTTCAATATTCAGTTCTTGAAGTATGGATGCATTTGTTTTTTTCTTTACCCATGATTTACATATATATATTTAATCATGCACTTTAACCCAATGAAACCACATTAAAGTCGGAGTGCATCTGTATGAGAGGCAAAGAACCTGCAGTCTGCATGCAAATAAGAGATCTGGAAAGCGGATGTACACGCAAGACTCACCTTATGGAACAAAACTAAAGGCTACAAGTGGAAGAACAGTCAGAATTTTCAGCTGGGGTTTACAACTGGTGAACGCAAAGAAGAAGAAGAAGAAGAAGAAGAAGAAGAAGAAGAAGAAGAAGAAGAAGAAGAAGAAGAAGAAGAAGAAGAAGAAGAAGAAGAAGAAGAAGAAGAAGAAGAAGAAGAAGAAGAAGAAGAAGAAATCATTCAATGTGTAAGAACACTGTGTAGGAATTAGTGGGCCTTTGTTGTGAGCCACGGCTTGCTTTCTACACCCTTTGTTACACACATGATCTGATCAACATTGAACAGCTTATTTTACCTGCGTTCAGTGCCAAGGAAGGAGCATACAGCAAAAAAGCCATGTAGATTAGCTGGGGATGTATAATGCATATATAATATCATGTGTGCAAATCTATTTTTATTTTTTTATTAGCATTTCCGGTCAAACGGCTGACAGCCAGCTAACCGCTGATGCCCTAGACAGTAATTTTTTTCCAGCTAGGTTTTGTTGATGCAAATTCCCATTTCTGGAACGGAAATTCGAAGGTTCCGTCGACAAACTACTGATTTGAGTACTTGGTGCGTCACTGTGAATTGCGGATTTAATGTAAATTGTTTTTCCCTTTTATCTGCGGCGTGTTGTTGAATGCACTAAAATTGCGGGTTGCCGCTTACATTAAGAATGGCGTGTACCTCTTGCGGGTACAATGCCGACTTTCGTGACTGCTTGCGCCAGTAGTAAGCTGCAATTCTAGCGTGGGATCATCAGTGTTGCCACAACTGACTGCTGTCTTATGAATTTTTATTTTGCACGTGCACGTTCCAAGAGTTGACTGGAACTGACAAGTCGTTTCACTAGTTTCACTAAAGGTTAGTGATGTAAAGTGTAGAGAAGTTATGGGTTGAGCCGAGGTTACGAGTGAGCCGGCCGCAGTGAAGTCGAGTCTCGTCTTACTAACTAGGTAATGTTTATTTATTGCTATAAACATTCTGTTGTGTCGTTATACAACACATAAGTTCACAGTTTATTCACCATTTCGTTCTAATCTGTGCAATATAAATAATTTTATCACTGCTATTACTATCATCATCATCATCATCATCACCATTTCATCGTCATCATCATAACTGCGTGCCGTGACGATGAGCGCAAGCTTTCATGTTTCGTTCTTCCACACGATCATCAGAATCACATATCAGGTCACTGTTCCTTTCCCGTCCCATCCACATAACCAAGCCATCTAGATATTTATCTCTCTGCCTTTCCCTTGCTCTCGTTCATTCAGTCGTGCCAGTCGCTACCATGTTATCCAGAAGATATAAAACAAAACGAAAAGTAGACCAGCGAACTTCACAAAAATACAAACAATTTAAACCTTAGAAAAAAAATAATTATTAACGAGTAACATTGCTTCTCATAACATCCTCAAAAAACACCGGTTGTCTGCGTCTAATTTTTCGAGTCAGTGTGTCTCGATAAGGACTGTCTCACTTGCCTATCTATCTGTTTATCTATCAGTCATGATATTTTGGGAATTCTCCACAGAACCTCATCTCGGCTGCTGATAGAATATGTTTCAGACTGACTGCTTATTGTACACATCTCACATGCATCTAACAACACAGGATGTTTAGGCATGTTAGAAAGTGTGCGCGTGTGTGTGCGTGTCTGTGTGTGTGTGTGTGTGTGTGTGTGTGTGTGTGTGTGTGTGTGTATTCCTCCGCAGCACTCCGAAACCTCGAGGTTAATTACTGCCAGAAATCTAGTGTCTCCATTCATCTCAGTGACTTCTGTTTATAGTCGGTGACTCTAAGTATTTGCAGGCCTGCCTAGGTTGAAATGTCTCTACACGGTCTTTTTGGTCTCCCTAGTGGTCTGCTTCCATCCAGCTATATTGTGTTCACAGTTTTTGCCTCTTTTTGCTACCATTTCCTCCATCTGACCCAAACACTGCAGCCCTTTAGCCGCAATGATCTCAGTTATATATATATATATATATATATATTCCCCGTGTGGGTTCCCCCGGGGCCTTATTATAGGGAAAACAAGAATAGACTCACTGCCTACCTAAAGGCATGTCGTAAGAGCCGACTAATTGGGAGCTTCCATTTCAATTCGGAATGGATCTGCCATAGAGGCAAGGAACCAGTAGTCTGTATACAAATGAGTCAAATCTGTAAAATGGATGCACACGCAACACTCAGGTTCTGGAACAGGGCTGCAGTCCAGAAGGAAGTGGATGAACAACCAGAACTTTCCACCGGAGTTTACAGCTGGTGAACGCGAAGAAGAAGATATATATATATATATTCACACACACACAGAAACACACACACACACACATATATATCTATATATATAAAAATCAATGTTTGTGTGTTGAAGATACATACTGCTATAGATATATATACGCAGGTGACTCACAATTAATGCCAAAATATACGCAACTAATATTTATAAACTTATTGATATTATAGCCACGTTAGTATTGCGCATGCGGCCGTATTTACCATTATACTAATATATAACAGCTAAACAAGATATAATACCATATAAACACGATTTCTATTTTTCTTTTTTTTTTCAAAATATTGGGGGTGGGGGGGGGGGGGGGGGGGGAGGGGGGGGCAAATCGAGGATATCTATAGTGATTGCGACATTAACTCATTAACCGTGTTTAGACACGTGCTATTTCTTACAATATATGGGTATCTGTCACGAGAAAAAATTGCCTGCGGTTTGTTTTGTAATTGTGTTTTAATCGCGACACCAGTGGTAAACATATGTTTAATAGTTGTGTTTTTCTCCTTTTCGTTGTTCCGAATAAGTGGCTGCTTGGTCGAAGGTATAACACTGGTTCAAGTTTAGACCTGGTTCGAATCCGCAGTAGTTAATTTTTTTTTTTTTTTGGACTAAAATAATATCCTCATCTGCTCTGTCGTGGGTGACAATACTAGCCCTGTTGCCTTAATATTAAAAAAAAAAAAAAAACAGAATGGGTAAACATTTGATATTAAATTTGACCATATTCGAATACTTATGATTGCAGTGTTAAACTTTTCGATTGCATGGTTACGCTGAAAATTTTTATAGAAAATGTAATTTTCCATTTAGATTTATTTATTTCATCTGTGTTGGAATTTTAAGCTGTGCTGTTTATGGCGTTCATTTCTAATTATGGTGTTTTTTTTCCTGTGTTCATTTGGCTTTCAAGTGTTGTTTTTTTTCCTCTCCCAACTACTTATGGGAAAGAGTTGTCGGTGAATTGGGGGGGAAGGGGGGGGGCAAACTATTAACTGAAAGAGCTTTTTAAGTCACAGTAACTGCTTTACCCCACTTAAAGTAGCAGCAGCAGTAATAGTTTTTGGTTAGGCTTTTACACCATAGTGCTCTCATTTGAAGACCGCCGGTAAGGTATGGCGTTCTTCTGTCGCAAGTGAAATTATACATCCTAAACCTGACCAGTCTGTGGCGACAGCCCTAGCCATATCATTTAGTAGTTGTACTGGTTATGAATATGTGGTAAATACATAGACTATACAATAACATTAAAGATAACATGTTGAAAGCATCCCCAATGAATGAGGGAAAAGGTGAATATTGTTCTCATTAAATTATATGTTTAGGTGGTTTAGTGAATTCCTGCTCCCCATTCCAGATGGACATGGATGTCATGTCAGTTACCGCCACGACAAAACTCGAAGAGGAGAGAGCAGTAGTCGGTGGAAGAGAGGGAGGGGAAATTAAGATGGGTGAAGCTACCTTCCGCTTTTCTATTTTTTACGAATGAGACAAGTGTCTGGGTAACTAGCGGCCACCGTGGCTTAGGCGTTGCGAGCCCGACACGTAATTCCAACTTACCGCGATCGGACGAAAGTGGCTGCGTTGATTTTTATCATAGTATGAAGCGTCATAGGTCAACCCAGCCTAAAATGGGTACCAGGATGTAGGTCATGGAAACGTAAAGACGGCCGTCGTAATGCTGACCACATTATTCACCTAGTGTCGATTGATCTGTAAAAAACATTTCTCATTGCCCCATGCGCCTAAAGGGGTGAAGAGGGATATTACTTTACTTTACTAGGTAACTTTTAGTGTCAACAGTTATAAGACAGAGAAGGTGACGTTATATTGGAAACATTCTTAGAAGAGACTACAGAGAACCATCAAACAGGTACTGGAATGGTAAAAAGAAGGGTTGAGGAAACCTTTAAGCGATCATTGATGAGAGGATGAACGTTGATGAGAGGGGCCAAAAGTGCTGGACTGGATTCCATCCATGTTATTGAACTGATTGTATAGGATAGTGCTGAAGGGAGAAATAGACTGTGAGCCCTATTGAGACATTTAACGGCACAACAGGACAATGAAGGAATGAGCATATTACTACTTTGCCATTTGGGCATCTCTAATGAAAGTATCAACACAATAGTTACAGGTCTACAAAGAAAAAGACATGTCACTTGGAAAACCGTATTAAAGATGCCATATCTCTACATACATATGAAAATGTATGTGGTGCTGTACGACAACAGAGCACTTGTTAGTTTGGCGCCGTAACTAATTATTCTGCACACAGAGTTTATACGTGTTAACCTGGCCAAGAGCGTTGGAACCAGGGAGGCTTAGCACCTTGAGCACCCCCTCCTCCCCATTTTTAAAGGAGGGCGTCTCAACAGCCGCCTCTGGAAAATCTTTAAGGGAGCTAAGTAGTCTCGCTAACCACATATAATTATCAATGTATTTGTTTATACATTTCGTATTATTTGACATTTATTATTATAATACAGTGAAACCTCGTTAGCCTGAACTCGCTTTAGACGAACTCTCGGTTAAATGCATTTTTTAGGGTCTAGCCAGACATGTACTATTCATTATACCAATACATTGCTAGCATGAAATTTTTTAACACAAACTCTTGATTTTTTCGCTAATTGTAATTCGTGCCAATTGGCACATAATAATCATGGTAGTGAAGATAATTTTTAAAAAAAACATTATTACAGTACACCTAAACAAGGCTTAAACCCTTTGAAGCCCTGTCCCGTTCAACAATTATAAAGGGGTGGAGAGACCTCTACAAAGCTTTCTTTATGTCGTCGCCCTGAAGCCACTAAAAACTCGGTCAGCATCGCTCTAGAAAATTAGGTAATCTCAAAGCGGCCTATCTCGCAGCTCCCTAGCATTCCTAGCCAGTGTGTGAATGTGCCTATGAATGAATGTCTGTGTTTCTGTTTGATACCAAACTTTAAAACAGTGGTATTCAACTTGTATTGGGGGGGGGTGGTGGGGGGAAGGGGGGGGGGGGGGGGGGGCGGGGGGGGGGGGGGGGGGGGGGGGCAGAAAGTTTAAAGGGAGCTTAAAGCAGTTTTGAAAAAAAAGTACATTTGTACTTGCAATAATCTGTGACACCAACATTTTTTATCCGGTGTGGGTTTCAGGACCCCGTTGTGAGGAAAACGAAAATAGACCCACTGCCTCCACAACAAGCATGTCGTAAGAATCGACTAATTGGCGGTTTCCTTCGAAGTCAGAGTGTATCTGCATGAGAACCAACAGTCTGCATAAAAAAAGACAGATCTATAAAACGGATGTGCACGCAACACTCAGTACAGGTTCTGGAACAAATCCAAAGTCCAGAGGTGGATGAACAACAAGAACTTGTCGCCGAAGTATGAGAACACGAAGAAAAAGAAGAAGACTTACATTTCTGTTCACTTGAATAATAAATTAATATATATATATATATATATATATATATATATATATATATATATATATATATAATATATATATAAAGCAACTCTTATAAAAACAAAAAGGTTTATACATCTACCTCCTCTTTTTAATTACGTTGTCTTTCAGAGGGAAAAAAGGCGGCCCATTGGGGTAGGGGGGGGTGGTGGTGGTGGTGGAGGTCTTGCTTTATATTTTTTTTAAGTGCGGGGGAGAGTTGGGCTAACTAGAAAAAAAAAGTTGCAAACCACTGTTTAGTAAATTTGTTTTCAGCAACGATACAAAGAATGCTACACCCACATACACATACATATATACCCGCGCACGCATACACATACTCGCATACACAACCATATACACACATACATATGACCACCCACATACACACACCCACACCAGCAGGGGCTCTGGAACTTGGAGAAAATAGACCCGAGAATGGAGGTGGTTGGGCGTAAGGGGGGGGGGGGAGGGGTGGAGGTTCGGCTGTCTTGGCCCCAATCGCCCACAACAATTAATAGACGTTCTTAGAATATGCATATCATCTAATTTTAAATATATAGTTATAATCTGACCATTTTACCCACCAAGCAAATAATACATTAGTGAATTGTTATGTATCAAGCTCGTCTTCTTCTTCAGCATTCCGAGTCTTTGAAGTTTATTGCTGCAGCTATCACCCGCCTACATTTATCTCTTTGGTTGGCCTTCTCTTTCCAGTTGGTGATACCAGTGTTTGCAGGTCTGTCTGGATATTATCTCTCCATCGTCTTCTTGGTCCAACCATTCATCTTCCTGGTGTATACAGTTTTTACTTCTCTCTTTTCTCATCTGACATTCTTTCTTCTTCTTCTGCTTTCATCCGAAGATGTAATTGCGCTGTGTCCGATATTTGCACCTTTCGGCAAACACATCCGACTTCTGCGGTCATTTGTTGACCGGGTTAGCATTCCTGGTTGACATTCTTTCAATATGCCCAACCATTTCAGTCTATTAGCTCTCATGATGCCAGTGATCAGTGGTGATTTAAACAGATTATGAATTTCGTTGTTGCTTCTCACTCTCCATTCACCGCTGTTTGCATCTTTATCAAGCACATGCTCGTCAAAAAATGTTGAATGTTGAATTAAAAATCGAGATCACAGCACTCGGGACACCCCCCATAAGCGCCCCGTCCCTATCTTTAGCAGCAAGCAAATAGTTATATTTCCAATGATACCAGTAACTGTCTGATTGTACATCCATCTCGCCCTTCCCTTGAATGATGAGCATCGGCCAGATTTTCTGGTAACTCCCCGCAGTGCCGTTCTCTTCAGACCGTTATGATCTATTTGTACCTCCACACTGTTCACTACTTCCCAAAATGTCCTCACAACATTTGGCTTTTCATACATCTTTTCACCACCAAGTGGTGCAGAACCAGTCTATCTGCCTGCTCATTTTCCAACACACCAGCATGAACCTGAAGAAAATTTCCAAAGGACACTAACTACGCGGGACCTCTGAAGTGATGAGTGCCACTCTGCACTAAGCATGCCTGTCTCCACCTTTCTCAACATGCTCTGTGAGTCAGTTACAATCACGGCATGTGTGTACAGCTGATTCTCAATCAAGCAAAAGGCAACAGTGACTGCCTTCACGTCCATTCTCAAATTAGACGTTATGATATCATATACAAGGTTTTGTTACACTAAGCTACGTCCATTCGGTTTTGCTATCAACCCCCATGCATTTCTTCTGCCTCTCAACACAGAGCCACCTGTAAAGATAATCACATCACTTGTGCGGGAATCGCCGTAAATCATTTGTTGAACCTCTGATTCTACAGCACCAGCAGACCAGTCCCTGCACTCACGACCTAAAGTGATAAGAACACCCAACACGTCTGAAACTTGCTCGGACACTTTTGATCCCCTCCTCATTGCGCTAATGTATCAAGCCTACACACATGTCTGATTGTATCTTCAGCTTGCGCCATCCAAGACCTTCCTCTTTTCAGTCTGAGTTATGAGTTAGATTACCTTCACGATTACTCTTCGATTTAATAAGCATTTTAAGACCATAAACTGTTACCGACAGGATCACATGCTGGAACATTGTAAGCAGCATTCTATGTTTTATGTCCATTGCTGCCATAATCTTGAGAGCATTAAGTCCGTTTTGGCATTTCAGCGCAACTGCCTCCACATGATCTCTAAAGGACAGGCTTCTATCGAAAATGATACCCAGGTACCTCAATTTGCTTTCTTTTTTTTATGTTACTGTCATTAATTGTTACTGTTATTAATTAATAGGACTCACCAAATTTCAAGAAGATACTTTAATATTTTTTTGGTCAATCATAACAACAACAACAACAACAAAAAAACAAAACAAAAAAAACAATGGAAGCCGAGTTTAGGTAGGACTTCTTCCTACTGCGGAAGAACGATATTTAGAAGTATTGTTATAAAATGTTAGAAACATTAACATAATTAACTTATTATGCTTTAACTAAGGAGCTGAGCAATCTTACCGTTTGAACAATCAAAATCACTGAGCCAATGACTCTAATCTCTTTGTTGAATCTCATGTGAAGGTACTGTGGATGTTAAAAAGGTAATTTTAAGAGCATGTAAATTATTACATAAACCATGTAAATTGAAAAAAAAAGACGATATTCACGTCTTTGCAGATTGGTTATATGATGCTAGACTCGTGGACACATGAGTTACATGGGGAAAGCGGTCTTGGCGCCCCGAGGTCTAAAGGTCGTGGGTTCGTTTTATATATGTTTAGCACACGAGTAGTTTTTATCAACATCCATGGAAATAATCGCTACTGGGGCCAGGGATCTGTGCCTCGCTCTCTGTCTACAGGCTGCTAGCTGTTCTGCGGAGACACACCAAGTCACACGGGATAAAACGTGATGGAATAAAATCTATCCTCTCTATTTTAACTGTTAGGACGGATCGTGTCACACAGGATAACCCTGATGCATTAAAGTATACCCTATCTATTTTAACTGTTAGGACCGATCAGGTCCGTTTTTTTTTTTTTCTTAAAGATTGATGCTCTAAGTAAGTATACATAGAAATAGATAGAGCTGAAGTATTAACTGTCTTTTACTGAAAGTGGTCAAAAATTATTTAGCTACTTTAGCACTTATTCTCTAAATTCTTTAGATGTCTTGCACTTTTGAGAGTCGACTGACCAAAGGTTTAATAACGCAGGGCTCTTATCTTCGAATCCTCGATAAGGTTGGGGATTTCTTTCTGTCGAGGGCAAAAGATAAAATGCTTACCTGCACATTTCGTAGTGACAGCACTAGCCATTTGGCCTTAAATCCACAGGCAAGGACCCTCTTCCGAGCCAACCACCTACACCGCAGAAGTGTTAAATACAGACCGTAATTTCATGGGGATGTTTTTGTTTTTGTGAAGTATACTTTTATTTATAGACATGAACATAATTCACTCACCTCAAAAACGCTCTCCACTTTTAGATTGTAGAAGAAAGGGATGAAAATGCACGTTGTGCTCCACATAGCCAGGACCATGCCAACAACGATCCACCACCACATCGTATCAAAGTTGTACACTTCTGCGGGATTTCCCAGAAGCGTCATGGCTGACTGGAATGTGACCATCAGGGACAAGGCCACGGGAATGGGGATTCATAGATTGTCCTCCCAGCAGAAATTCTTTGGTTGTATTTTTGTGTCGATCTACAAACGCGTAGAAAATGCCAATGCCGCAGGAAATCAACAGGGTCAGGATAAACATAATGTAGTCTGTGACGCCGAAGAGGGGAATTATCCCTGTATTCTTACTGTATTGCTTATCCATGATCAGTCAAGAGTTCCTTAGGCTGTGGAAAAGAGACGGTATCACTCATATATACAGAAATGACTAAGAAATACCTCCCCCCCCCCCACACACACACACACAAAATAAGTGTGGCGTATTAGCTGATCAAACGTTTTGTATTTAAGCTGAGACTCAGAGGGTTCTGGGACACCAATTTCTGGATAAAAGAATAGACCCACTGTCTCCTTAAGAAGCTTGTCGTAAGAGGCGAATAATTAGAGGTTTACCGAAATCGAATGTGTTGGACCAAACGACGCAGATGTCGCAGTTTAGCTATCCGCCACCCTTTTAACAAAGAACAAAGAAGGAGACTAAGAAGCCCGCAATGACTCAGAAATCACAACTGTGTGGTATAATCGCTGGGGAAATCTGTTTTACTTGTATTTGTGCACACTTGGTGGATACTTGGAGCAGCGGTACTGGATACTGGGAGCAGCGGTACTGGATACTAGGAGCAGCAGTACTGGATACTAGGAGTAGCAGTACTGGATACTGGGAGCTACGGTGCTGGATACTAGGAGCTTATTACTGATCTTGGAGTGCGGTATCTCGTTATGGGGCTACGTTCTGGATACTGGAAGCTTATTATTATATTATGTGCACATCTTCGTTATGGCTGTTCTTGCCCAAGGTATCTCTTATATTCTGTGCACATCTTCGTTATGGCTGTTCTTGCCCAAGGTATCTCCTATATTCTGTGCACATCTTCGTTATGGTCGTTCTTGCCCAAGGTATCTCCTATATTTTGTGCACATCGTTATGGTCGTTCTTGCCCAGGGTATCTCTTATATTCTGTGCACATCTTCATGTTGGTGGGCCCTTGCCTTTTTTTATTGGCACCATGCCTTCTGCTACTATGCTGTCTATGCATCTTGGCGCTTAATATGGCAAAAAGGTCGATTCCGAGACAAAATGTTGTTAACAGCCAATCTTTCTTGATGTTCAGATCTTTTAGGATGTCAATATTAATTCTTTTGGGGGGAAAGGGGGGGGGGGGGGCGTTCTATGACATTTTGAGGACCTTTCTATAATTTCGGCCACAAAGTTTGTACTTTCTTCCATAATGACTGTAAGATAGTCCACGACTTACTCTGTATGTTGCCAGAGTGACGATGAAAACTCTCAAAATTTTTAATCTGATTTTCCCGCTGCTGCTTAGCTATCTTTTAATGCTGTTTAATGTTTGTATTGATATGACCATTCTCCTTTTGACTTTTGTCGAACAGCCTCCATTACTGTTTATTATGAGTCCTATATATTTAAAGTTCGTGACATTTTCAATTTCTTCATCATTTACTCGAATCACACATTTCAACTTGTTGAGACGCAAGCAACGTGTGATGCAGAATTAGCACTGCTGTGAATCCCACTCAACATGCAATATGTTCTAGTCCTTTTCATAATTGGTCAACATATTTTTAGAAATCTGGCTTCTCTAGTATTTAGCGTTTTTGAAAACAATACACTAGTGGTTTTTTCCCATTTTAAAAAAAATATACATATGGGAATCTTTGGTAAAACAACTTTCTGGTACTCGAGGAGTTAAGAGGCTTCGACCTCTACTAGGATATACAATTCCTGCAAGCAATACATGAATGATACCAATATTGAGCTTGACTTGTGGAAACAGGTTTTCCATCACAATAAATGAGAAAATGATAAATCAAGACCGGAGCGTCTATGCGACGGAAACAATGGTCGCGAAATTACCAGCTTTTTGAAAACCTTTTTCTTACACACGGCTCTTGCCAGCCACAGGTTTTGATTCGTATGTCCATGTAGCACAGTATATCAATATCTTCTGGAAATAGCAAATAGTGCAACAATAATTTAAATATGCAAACTGTAAATTCATAATTAAAATTTGAGGGGATTGATTCCTGTCATTCGTAACTGCTTTCTGAAAATGTGACACAACTGAAATCTCAATCTGGATAGAAACCAACATTGAAAATCCTATATATCCTGTTTAAATAAGTTATATCTAGTGCATCTGTCACGGCTGTACCAGGCCAGTGAAGCCTTCAGTCCTGTGCGGTAGGAATGCAGTTATACATCACTGTTTGCGCATAGTACATCAGTCACTTTACCAGATTATTCTAATAACGAAAAGGTTTCGAGAGAGCAATATAGTTCTGTAACTTACGAGATTTATGTATGTTCACTGAATAAAGCTTGGCTCAGTTTTCAGCTGCCAGACTGACCTAATTTGCGCAAAGATAACATAGCTTTGCTACACATTACACAGACGTTGCGGATCTAATTAGTTACAGGGCCAGACATGGACACGCACATAAAAGACAACTTTAAGAAAGTTTCCACCAAGAACTGTGAATGCAAATACGATCAAACCAAAAACGTGCTTCTTGCAGATAACCACAATTAACTGTCTAAAGAATGTGACGATATAGTTGTTGTATTAATACATGTATGACTGTCAGTGAATAACAGCAAATAAAGATAAAAAGGGTCACTACTTCCGGGATTCCAATATACGAAGGGTGGTAGGGGAAAAGGGGGGGGGGGGTTTAGACCCAGTACATTAAAATAAGTTTGTTTTAAAAGATGGCTAATAAGGGCTTTGAGAAAATGAGAAATGTAGGGACAGTTACTAGTATCAACATTTATAAGACAGAGAATATAGTGGTGAATGGGCATCAAAACCTCAACGCGTCCTAATGGGTCTGCTCCAGGGATCACCATTGTCGCCTGTGCTCTTCAGTGTGTATACAGCAGGAGTTCCAAGTGCCCAAAGCGTAGGCCCAGTCAGAACAATGTCGTATGCAGATGATATCCGTGTGTACCTTCGAGGTAAAAACAGGCACGAAATTACAACCACACTACAACACGACAACACGAACTACTTAATGAGTGGTGCCAGGAATCAAGAGCTGAAATAAACCCGTCCACAGCCTCCTTAACATGGTTCTCTCTGAATACCCACATCGTCAGTACATTAACGCCAGTCGTAAGCATGTGTGGTGTGGACATCGAGAGAACGGACACTATGAAACACATGGGCATGGCCTTTGACAGATGCTTGTCATACAAATGCCACGTAGAAAACGTCATTAGAGCCAGGAAAGGTCTGACAGCACTCAAGGTGCAGCTGATATTGAACAACGCCTATTTTTCCGTCTCTATCAAGGACTTGTATTAAGCGTCATTGACTATAAGGTCTTGGCCTCCTCACTGTCAGCAAAACCCAGCTAGAAAGACTGGACCGAGTATAAAATGAGGAACTGAGACTCATACTCGGTTGCACAAAAGACACCTTCTGCAACGCGATGCGTTATATGTCCTGGGTTTGCCGACGATGACTAGCAGATACAGAGTGGCACAGGTCACGGCTTAGATGAGGGTATCGGCAGACGTTAACCACCCACTGCACAAAGCTATAAACGACACAAAAGGGACGCGTCTCAAAAGAGGCCGTTCCTGGATGACAAAGGCTGAGGATTTAATCCAGCAGGTATGTGACCTAGAAGCGATCAGTCACGGAAAAGAATGGACGAATACACCAGCAGACATGCACAGCATCTCTAAGATTGTCATCACACTCAGTAGGTACTGCTGTGATCAAATTCACGCGGCCGTAGACACTGAGGTGAGGGTGATAGATCAGCATTCAGACCCAGAAGATATCATCATCTACACAGATGGATCCGTGAGCGCGGATCAAGGTCAGCATGGGCATATTCAGGGAAAAATAGGGACAACTTTACAGGAGGAC